GACACGTCACCAGGTGAGTACTCTTTAGTGTGAATTCACGTTGGTGACTAATCACATATTTATCTTAAATTATCGGCATATATATTTTGTTTTTACAGTCTTCATATCATATTGATATCCATATACTTATATCAAGCCTTTTCATTACATTTTTAATAAAATAAACACAAATAAATTAACAAAGTTGTATAGATGTCATCGGTGCGACATTTCGTGCAAGGCACGAATTAGTATTAGAAATGGTGTGGTTAATTTTAGGGGTGACCACGGAGGCTATTATGAATCTCCCGTTAGCATGGAGGTAAGTGAATTTAAAAAAAATTATTATTTTAATTTTGCATTTTGGTACCTAACCGGTTGAAGTTATACATTTTCTTTTTAACCTACTAGGGATATTTACTATTTACTACATAGGTACTGACTCATGTACATAAACTGTTTATTGTTTAAATATATTTATTTTGGTTATTTGTTATCACGTTATTATAATATATTCAGTTTAAAAAATGATATTTATCTATAAGTAGCGATAGGTACCTATTCAAAAATAAGTTTTGTTTATCATCCAATATATATATTCAACGTATCTACAAGAAACACAAAATAATCTTGTAATATTCTTTAAAAATGTTACCTAGTAAAAAAAGCAAACTATATAGTCAACCTACTAAACCCCTCTTACAACATGGAAAAAAAACCAGTATATCATATTTTAAAGTATTTTTAGGTGATTGAAATCGATTTTTAATATAAATACAAATCGTTCAAAATAATTTTAATTTATTTTTCAAACGTTTACAAAAATAAAACCCTAATATCTTATGCTATTAAATGTTTTATTACCACTAAGTTTAATTCGTTATGTATATAGTGTACAATTTTTAAGCATTTCCGTTCAGCTAAATATATACCTTCTAAATAACTAGAGTTGAACGAGTATCGTTTTTGAATGTCGAGTCGAGTCGAGTCGAGTTTCAAATATTTCGAGTCGAGTCGAGCTCAAATGTCGAGTACTTGAAAAAGGTCGGGTTCTAAAAAAAAAGTCGAGTACTCGATAATTGCCGAGTCGCGTCGAGTTTCAATAATTTCGAGTCGAGTAAAGTTCAAATCT